AAACAACCAGACCCTGAACCGGGTCCTGAACTAGCCAGTGGTTTTGGGGGGTTCCTTGGCTCTTTAGCTCCTTATTTAATAGGGATTATCATCATCCCTGGCTCCTTAGCTCCTCCAATATCAATAGTAAGTTAAACCCTGACTCCGAAACCCGACCCGAGACCAGGCCCAGACATAGCAGATTGGTAACTACTCTGAGCTTGATTAGTCTCGATAAGGCTCAGGTTCTAGGACAGTTTCGGGGCTTGATATCGACTGAGGGCGTTGAGGGCTTCTCTTATCTGTTCAAGCCCTTATAGCGGGGTCAACATCCGCTTGCGAGATCCTAAACGAACCCGACCAAGGGCCATGTTGATCTAGCAGGTCTACTTCACAACTACCCCCTGCAAACTCCGAACGTATTCCCAAAAGCACATCTCACCATCCTTACTTTCTGAGCCACAAGAACCTGCAAGTAAACACCCTTCTTGGAGGGGCAGGGGAATTAGTGAGTAGGTTATAAGTAGGGTTATAATTGGGGTAACTCCATTTAGGGTAATTATTCTACTCATCACCCACTTACAAAGTCCCCTGCCCCTCCAACATAGACCCTAAACCCTAAACCTCATAGATCCCTTTAAGGAACCCTATAGATCCCTTTAAGGGGCCCTTTAAGAAGCCCTTACTAAGTCCCCTGAATCCTGAAGCCTGGGCCCTTAGAGTCTTCACCGTTGTGCTCTAGAGCCCCTCAACATGGGAGATTCCGAAAACTACGGTTGATGATATAAATCTTGCATTACCTTAAGGACTCTAAACTATGGGAATTATGGTATATTCCTTATTATGGGTCATGCAGGATTTATATCATCAACCGTAGGGGGTGCCTTGGCGCTCCTTTAAAGGGAAATACAAGGTACTATAAGGGTTCTATAAAGGTTTAGGGTTTAGGGTCGAGAGTTTCCGAAAATTACGGGTTCCGTCTTTTGGGGTCCATATATAGTAAGGATCCTACTATTTAGGGTGCTATATTCGGGTCCCTCTTTTCGGAAACTCCCACATCTTGAAAAACCAAAATACCAGTAAAAGAAAGGCCCTGCACCTTCATAGTATGAGTTCATATATGGTATATGGACCTTAAACATTTTTTGAGGTGCATTTCGTCTTTAGGGACCTAAGGCTAGAAACCCCTTATCTTTGATAGGACCCCTTAAGTCCAAAGTCCGAAAGAGGCGCATAAACTATATTTCAAGCAGGGTTCTGAATGAAATCAATACGGGGAATTAAGACTTCTCCCAAATCGGCACCTAGTCAGTGTGGGGATAAAGATGATCACAGGGGTGCCTTAAACAAGAGGTTCCGTATGCATTACTAATTACGATGGAACTAGGGTAACAAAAACCATGACAGCGATGGTCTCTTGGGGCCTCATATTCCAATGATTCCACAATGGTCGTATATATGGACCGCGTGGGCAAAATACGCCGTTGCAACACGCCTCTTTGAACGCCTCGTCTTGGTCGGCATAGGCAACTCCAAGGAGGAGCTGTTCACAGCTCATGCTAAACGCTCACATGAATCCCGAAAAAAGTTTCCGGATTCCAATTCCTTGAACAGCTTGCGGGTGCCATAGGGTTTTGCATCTAGGGTTTACGGCTCACATCTCATTTGAGGTTTATAGTAGGTGATGTAGCGCCCCATACTTGCTACGGGTGATTTTTCCAAAGGTACTAGAAGTAGGGTTTCTGCAGTACTAGGAATTGCTAGTATATTTTAGGCAGGGATCCGACATACAGGTACTTAGGGCCGTTTGGGTGCTTCATCAGCAAACCCATAGGTGAAGTCAAAGGAACTGGCAGAATCCTCTTCGTTTAAAGTTCAAGGTACACCCGACCCCGAAAAACAAACTTGCGGTTGTCGGGCGGTTCCTTATTATGCCTTCCTTGTATAGGCCTTTAACTGGCAAGTTTTGCATGGGGGCGGGGTCAGGTAAGATTGAGGTTCCAAACTCGGGGTTCGGGGTGGTATGCAGTTTGGACTCAGGGTTTAGGGGTTCGCGGCTTGCGGGCCAAAACCCCAAACCGCCCTCACTCACCTTGGAGCGCTAAGGAGAGTTCGAGTTCCACCAGAAGCTCGCAAACGAGGCGGCAGTGTCCCGACCTAACCGATGGGGCCAAAAGGATTTTCGGTTTACGGTTGAAAGGGTTTGGTCTTAGGATATAATGGTTTGGGAGTTTGGGATCACGGATTAAAGATAGGGCTTGGGGATTCAAGTTTACGAATTCGGATGTATGGTTTACAGTTTACGTTTGGAAGGGTTTACACTCACGGGTTCTTTTGAGTTTACAAGCACTGCAACCTACCAGTACCAAAACCCGAGTGGTGTCCACAGTCACCGCGAGTGCCATCCCCACTTGGACCCACATAGTGGTGACCGGACTGACCTGACCGGTCGACCGGACTGCTGACTTGACCGATTGAATGGACTGACCTGTGACGGGTGAGTGGATTCCCAAAGGCTCCATGTACCCATATAGTAGGTACTTAAGCCTTAATGTACCCATAAAGGGACCCCTTTAAGGCCAAAGTACCTACTATAGGGGTACATGGAGCCTTAGGGATTGACAGGACCGGGCCATCGGACTGACGCGACCGGACAGACCGGGACCTGGCCCAGGGGACCATCGTAGGGCCCCCAAAAAAGCACACAAGCAAAAATTACGATAGTGATATCCCATGTAAAGCCCCTTTTACCCTAAACCCTAAACCCTAAACCCTAACCCCTAAACCCTAAACCCTAAACCGGTAGGGATATCCCTATAAAATGCTTATGCTTATGTGCTGTATCGGACCCACCGGATGTTCGCGGCTGTTTCGCATGTTCCCAGAACATAAGACATAAGGGTCCATGTACTCATATAGGGTGCCTTTGAGGGTCTACTATAAGGGTTCTATAGGGGTTTAGGATGGTTTGGGGTTTAAGGGTCCATGTACTCATATAGTATATACATTGGCCTTAAAATACTGCCTACATAGGTACATAGGGCCCAAAGTATATGCTATATGGATACATGGAGCCTTAAACCCTATAAACCCTATAGAACCCTTATAGTAAACCCTTATAGGAACCTTTAAAGGAGCCTCTAAAGGATCCCCCTTTGGGCTATATGGGCACATGGACCCTTATAAGGTAAGACATAAGGAGGAGTTCGCCTTGATGAGGGACTTGTGTTTCCGGTACACATCCCTGATAAGAAAGAGCCTCAACTAGGGTTTAGGGTTTAGGGTTTAGGTTTTAGGGTTTGGGGTTTAGGGTTTAGGGTGGCTGAACACCCAAGGCCATTCTCGAACTAAACGGAGAGCCTTGCAATTCGGTCTTCAGCGATGAGCTTGGGGCTGGGGTTCAAGGCTTTGCATGTCGGGTTTGGGTCTTACAGAAAGCCCTTAAACGTTATATGATGAAATAGGGCATCTAAGAATCTAAGGTCTTTCTCAAGTTTTTGTATGAAAGATTTTGAGAGACATGAGGTAACGGAGTTTTAATTACTCTGCTTCAAGAGGTGCGAAGTGTTTCCAAAGGTTCAGCTGAGTTCCCACGACTTGGAAAATGGGAGCTTCTGAAGATTCTTGGTACCTCATTTTGGGGTCCTTATAAAAAGGATCCTACCATTTACAGGACTATATAAGGGTCCCCCTATTTTACCATGTAATACCCTAAAGCGTTCCCTTAAAGCTACCTTTAAGGGTTCCTATAACGGCCCTTTAAACGGAAGCCCTAGCCAAATATCTGTCCTCACCGGACCCTGGGGATCAACATAGCCCAAAAGCCTCATATAGTATGGTCTTTGGGCCCAAAAGCCTTTATTAACATATGAGTCCTTAGATCCCTAAACTCTATAGATCCCTTTAAAGGACCCCTTATAGATCCCTTCAGAGGGTCAGCAAAAATCTGTCCTCACCGGAGGGCTTTGCCGCAGCTTCGAGCACGGGAGCCACGGCCAAGGCATCGTTTGGAAGCCTCGAAGCTCCGAGATCTCGCAGCACCTCCAGGGCTCCCTTTAAAGGGATCCCTAAGGGCTCCTTTAAAAGGGATCCCTAAGGGCTCCTTTAAAGGGAGCCCTGAAGGGCTCCTTTTAAAGGAATTGCTAAGGGTTCCTTACAGAGGTTTAGGGTTTATTTTTGGTGTGCCTTTTAGGGTTTTCGTGTTCCTTTAAGAGCAGGGTTCCTCTTTGAGTTTAAGGGTACCCTGAGGTTGTAGCAGCACCTCCAGGACCCGTACACCTGTTTAAGGGTTGGGCCCCAAGTACCCTTTAATCAAGCCCTTATGGTCCTTCATAGACGGCATTTGGTGTATAACAAAGGGTAGTTGGGGGGTCTGGGCTGAGAGGGTAGTCTGAGGTTGTTAGGGTTCCTTTTCGGGGTACCTTTAAAGGTTTAAGGTTCTTTTAAGAATACCTGCAAGGGAGAGAGTGAGGAGCTTGGAGGTTAGGGGTTTGGGTTTAGGTGGGGAGGCTTGGTAGGGCTTCATACTTGAAGGGTCGGGGGACTTAGTAAGTAGTTCAGGGTATGCAGTAGGGCTCAGGGCTAGTATGGTATAAGGGTTAAGGGCCCAAAAAGCCTAGTGCTCAAACCTTATGCCCCTTTTGGGGTTTGTCGATCCTTCCGGGGGTACATGGGACTCAGTAGCCCAGAGCGAGAAAATCCCGGAAACCCTAAACCCCTATTCTGACTCTCACTAAATCCTGAACTCCTAACTATAGCCTATCCCGTATAAACACCAAACACCTATACCCTAAACCACCCTTAGGCCTAAGCCCCTACTATAATCAAACTAGACCCCTGTAAACCCGAACTACGGTTGATGATATAAACCCTGCATGACCCATAATAAGGAATATATGGGAATTATTCCTTATTATGGGTCATGCAGGATTTGTATCATCAACAGCCCTAAACCCTAAACCGTGTATCCCCTGAACCCGTTTGGAATCAGTTGAAAGGCCCCACACCTGCAGTGCAGGCTCCCACTCGCTGGCGCGGCTGCAGGCAGCAGCTGCAGCGTTGTACCTCACGGTCACATGCTTTACAAAGGGGGGGGACTTGGGCTAATCTTGCCTGGTGCCTGAACCTCCTTTTCAAGGACTTATACAAAGAAAACATAATTGATGAGGAACCTAAAAAGGTTGGTTTTTGGGGTCCAGGTAGATCCTGAACCCCTAAACCCTGAAACACTAAACCCGGCTTCAAACGCTGCTTTAGTTGTGCCGAAGCTTGGGTGCTAGATCCCGGCAAGCCCTCCTACATAGTTCTAACCAAACCCCAGGATCAAAGAGCCTACTGTTTCCAGGGTTATACCCAATAGTGAAGGGGGCATGAGCTACAAGTTATAATCGCTAGTCCAACCCACTTTGTGTACTCCCAAAATTTACAGCCCGAATGTAGCAGCTTTCATTACTGACACAGCGTTTTGGGATGTATAACTTGTCACAGGCCCATCTAGGGAAATCCTGGCACTCCATAAAAACACAACTATGACATATTTCAAACCAATTAATTCAATAGGGTTCTGAATATGGTTGACGGTATGTTCTTTGTTGAGGGGTTTTGGAGTCTCTGGGAACCCCTACATATAGACATCACCAGCAGCCATGTTGCAGTGAGGAGTCTAGGACCACTCTGGCGCAGTAAGCGCTTGCGAGGAGCCACAGCACCACGGTCCATTGAGCCACCTCACACTCTTTAGAATCTAGGGATTAGTAGAATTTCAATGCATTTTTGTTTTGTGTGGAGGCGGTTCCCTGTAATTAAGGGCTCCTGCAAGGGATCTATAAAATTGTTCCTCTGAGGGCTCCTTTAAGGGATCTACATAAGGGTTCCTTTGAGGGGATCTATATAAGGACCCCTTCCATGGTTGCATGACGTGTTCCACAAGGGCACCAGAGGGGTTTAGGGTTTAGTGGGGTGCGGGCGTGTAGATTTCGGGGTGGCGTTTGGGTCCCAGGGCTTTATAGGCCGTAGGGCTTCGGGTTTTCCCTAAGGGTCCTAACAAATTGGGGAACCTCAAAATTGAGGGTTTTTGAGACCCCAAAGAGACCCAAGGACTCTCCCTAGGAGATTCCGACCCTCCTAGGGAGATACCTGGACCCTTAGGGTCGGGTTTAGGGCGAGTGGAAGTCCGGTTTCGCAAAACGAATGACGACGCCACGGCAGACCAACCCGCAAACTGTCGAAGCCAAGTCTCCTGCAAACGTTTCAGCCCAGACCTTCCAAAATCCCTTAATTAATGAATATATATATATATATATATATATATACCTTAAATTATAGTAGGATCCCTAATATGATTTAAGGTATATTCCTTAATTAAAGGATTTTGGAAGGTCTGGGTTTAAGGGTTCCCTCATGGTTCGTTTCAAGGTAACTAGAGAAGGAAGACTCGATCTCGGGTTACAAGCACAAGTGGGCTGCCTCCCAGTAGGCCAACTGCCAACGATTTATGTAGGGGTTTGGGTTTCAGGGTTTGGGGTTGAGGGTTTAGGGCTTAGGAAAATAGCAAGGTTACTGCTGTGCGGTTACGACGGTTGTGGACTATACAGATCCACTAGGGAACAGAAAGTCCAACCTAAACGTTCACACCATATTGGCCATCACGCTGCATTTCCACAAACAAGGACCTACCCCTAAACCCTGAACCCAAAATTTAAAAAAACAAACGAAGCAAGTCCAGTCCAAACATTGCGACGCAAAACCCCAAGACGTAAGAAGCAACCGTAAACCATATACACCTAAACACCCGAGACCCTACACCCTACCCAGACCATCTTTGTAAGGACATACGTAAGGAAATCCACTAAAGGGCCCTGAAACGATAGGTTCTTTCCCGAAGGCTCCAAGTACCTAAAAATCATACATTCACCAAAGTCCTAACCTACATAACTACTACCCTGAAACCAATTACCTAATTATTGGGTCCTTTGGACCCTCAGCGTGTAGGATAGTGGTTTAGGATCTGAGCAAGACCTACGGTGAAACAAGACAGCTTCGCGCCTTCTCGGAAGTACTGATGACGGCAAGGTAGGTGATGGAGTCCTGGGCTGTGCAGCCATGGACTCAACCCAGACCCCCGAGAGGATCCAAAAAGTAGATCCCTTAATGGGGGCTCCTATAGAGTACCCTTAGTAGTATAGGGCCCCAAATTGGGTCTGGGAATGCGCGTCGAGGCAGTGAGGGTTTTGTGGCGTAGGGGCTTGACGAGCATCTTTACAGTTCGACTTCGTAATCAAGTACTGTTTAGGGTTTAGGGGTTTAGGGTTTGGGGTTAGGGTTCAGGGTGTAGCTTCGTAGGATTTTGGGGTTCTTTATTACAAGTAGAGTATAAACCGCCGAGTAGCTGGTTCCATCCGCATGCAAGTCGCTTCATGCAGTAACTGGAGAGCAAGCCGCCACTGCGACCCGTTCCTTTGCATGGAGGAGACTGCGAGGACGGGGGTCGCAAAACAGAGGGTTTAGGTTTGGGTTTCTGAAACACCAACAGTAGCTTCATTTTGGGTCAAGGTATTGTCGAACCCTACAGACCATCAGACTACTCGAAGGAACCCTCTGGAAGAGTATACACATTAGAAACCCTGCGCTTCTCAAAAGCCCCTTAAGAAGAAGGGGTCCCCATTTCCTGTTGTTCGACCTTTAAAACTGACTTAAGAAACAATCTGTGTAAGGCTACTACCGGTACTACTAGAGGACATGGGCTTGTGCGTGTAAGACCGAAATCCAACCAAACCGAAATCCTGAACCCACAAGCCAGGACTTTCATGGAGGCCTTATGGCCGTTAATAGCGGGTATTTGGGGTATAGTAGAGGGTAGTTGGGGGGTCTAGGAGTTGGCAAAACGGCCTAGAGACGAGATTCTCGCATGCCGAAATGGCCGCGTTGTAGGAAACGATGTCCTCCGGCTTCGCGGCGTTGAGCGTTTTGGGCTTCAGTGTCGTTTGTAGTTTCGGATTTCTATACTGATTTTAGACCCCTAGCTAAATTTATAGTTTGAGCTGTTTCTTGAAGATTATTGGAACCAAAACACAAAAAAACAAACACATATTTCGAGATTTAGGGCTTCATGGTATGGTATTCAGACTTAGGGTTTTCCGGAGGTTTAAAGTATCTGCAGGTTTGGGTTCAAGGACTTGCCTGAAGATGTTGGTTTATAATAGACTCCATAAAGTTGGAAACCAGATCAAGGCCAAATGGTGCTGGGATTCCCTATACATTGCTCTTAGGGATTGAGGCTACGGGGTTTCCAACTTTTGGGCTTCTACTGTAGGTTCAAAGGCTTAAACCCAAAATCGCAAATCCAACCATAGACACCTACTCTCTACTTGGATAAGAACTTAGGACGCTTTGGGGTTGTAGTTCGCGCGACTGCCTGAAAGGCGAGCCTCGTACATACTTCCTCCCCACAAACAGGCGAGATAAACATCAAGCACAACAATCAAGTATAAGCCTAAACCCAAGCCCAAAGCTAGAACAGGATGTTGGGGTATGTTATGGCACAGCTTTCAAAAGTGTCGTTACCTTAAGGCTCCCTTCGGGTCATGGGCTTTCTGGGGGATGGCTTGGGCTTTAGGGGGTCAGGTTTTTTGATCTTACTACGAGGGTCCATGAGCCTTCGGGTATGTATCACTACTGGTTCAGGCTTCTAGACAAAACGCCCTAAACCCTGGAAGCATTCTTAGCTTCTATCTCTTCTCCCTGTATTTGGCCCTAAACCGTAAGCCCTAAACCGTGGCAAACCCTAAACCCTAAACATGACTCCCTAAACCCTGAACCCTTAAAGGGAACTCCAGAAAGTTGGAATATGGATCAATGGGAGGATCCCCTATAATTTACCTTAAAGGGGTTACGATAATGATATTCCAACTTTCTGGCTTCTACTATAAGGTGTTCGTTAAGGCATGGCATTTACTAGCTTAGCGGCCTGAGTACCCTAGCGACAAAAAAGTTAACCTTTTCAATTATGGTCGGGTTATATCATGAACCCCAAAAGTTGTAGGCTACCTACTCAGCTACTGAGTGAAACCTTATATATTAAATCGCACTCCTGGTAAGCCCTGAACCCCTAAACCCTAAACCCTAAATCCCTAAACCCTCATTAAGGCTGTAAACTTATAACGTTATAGCATTTGTTGAGCCGCACTCCTGCCGCATCTCCGTCATGCGAAATGCTTGAAGGAGATTGGGGGCCCTCTGCCACGCCTGCTTTTTTCAAAGGGGAAAAGGAGGGCTCTTAATTTAGGGCTCTTAGGGTTCCTTTAAAGGGATCTATAAGGGTTTCTTTCAAGGGATCCTTAGGGGTTTAGGGTTTAGGGTTCCTTTAATCAAAGGGGAGAAGGAGGGACCCTTAATGGGGACCCCTACCCTGTAATGGGCTATATAACGGGTATATAATAGCTATATTAAGGGTATATACCTAGGGGTGCTTATTCAGGGTCCCTCCTTTTACCCTTGGATGTTTTGGTCGCCCGGATGGGGAAACCCCTACACTTCTAAACCTCCCTATAGTCTCCATTGTAGTTTCTTTTATTGGTTAACCAGTTTTATGGTTAGGATCCTAGGCTAACCAGAAAAAGGAACTACAATGGAGACTTTCGGTCGGCCTTACGGTGTGGGGCTCACGGTTTCTTTCGCGTTGAATGTTCGGGGCTGACTCGGTACCCTCTAGAGTCATCAAGCTGTGTTCGACTGACATGCCACTCCCTGAGCGTTACATTCGAAACCCTTAAGCCTATAAGCCTTGAGGCCATATCCGTGGATTAAGCTCTAAATCCTTAAGGCTATATTTAAGCCTAAACCCTCAAGCGAGAACCCTAAACCACCCTGCCACAGCTCACCTTTGCGTTGTAGCTACTATATAGAGCTTTAGCAAGGTGCCTTTTTGGTTGGAACATGTTTGGAGAGAAGATTCAACCCAGAGTCACGGATCATTTGGAGGTAGGTGGACTTAGTAGGTAGCTATTTCATAGGGTAGAAAGTGCCAGCCGAATATGGTACTAATAACTCGACTTATTACCTTCTTACTATGTCCGCCGGCCTCCAAGCAGGCTTCAGAACGACAAACGTTGTCTTCCAAGCGCCAGTATGCTTTCTCATGTCGTCCTTCCTGCCGACCTGGAATGCTCGTAGCTCCGCCGCGTGGCGCCTTGCATGGACGAGTGCGCAGGTTTTCCAGGGTCCAAGCACCCAGAGGCTCCATGTACCTTTATAGTAGCTACTTCGGCCTTAAAGGGGTCCCTATATAGGTACTTTCAGGCCTAAGTATATACTATATGGGTGGTTGTCAAAATTATGGTCCCTTTTGGGATACCTTAAATAGTAGGTGCCGGATTATAAGAAGGACCCAAAAGGGGACCATAATTTTGACAACCACCCATATGGGCACATGGAGCCTTAGGGGCAGCAAGGCCAGAGTCTGAAGGAGCTGCATGTGGACTTCGGAATTCAACAGTTTGCACATGCCTGCGGATGCAAGCCACGGAGCCGCGGACGACAGTTATGCCAATGATCCCTAAGGAATTGGGAGTTTCCGAAAATAGGGGACCCTAAAACATAGTACCCTTAATTGTAGGTTCCTTGTAATAAGGACCCCAACATGAAGTACCCCTATTTTTCGGAAACTCCCAATTTGTCAGAGGCGGGCAGATGCGCTTCTTCAAGCTCTCGAACCACGTCGTCCTGGATGACATGGTCGTGCATCAAGGCATGTACGCCCCTGCACGATGCTCTCGGCCGTTTCTGCACAGTCGTGTTCGTTACTAGGGACCAGGCAGAATGAGATCTTCTGCTGGACACTCCGTAACTCAATGAGACGTTTTGCAAGGATGTTAGTTATAACAAGGGCTACTTGGAGGTTCATGGGTAGTTCTAAGTGGACTTACAAGTAGGGTAACTATACTTATGACGGGACTTATAACCCCACTTATAACTACCCATGAACCCTAAACCCTATACCCCTATAGAATCCCTATAGATCCCTTTAAAGGGACCCTTAAAGGACCCTACTTATAACTACCCATGAACCTCCAAGTACAAGGATTTAGGGCCGAGGGCCTGGGAGTTGAGAGCTTAGGAGTTGAGCGATTACCCCAAGGGTTTAGGGTTTAGGGTTTAGGGTTAATCCTAACCTACGTAACTACTATCCTAAAACCGAGTACCTGATTTTTGGGTCCTTTGGACCCTTGGGGTTAGGGTTGTTTTTGAGAAGACCGTGGCCCTGCGAAGGGTTGATGATATAAATTCTGCATTATCCATAATAAGGAATATACCATAATTCCCATAGTTTAGGGCCCTTAAGGTAATGCAGGATTTATATCATCAACCGAAGGATCCTAATACACCCAACACCCTAAACCGGGACTTCTGAGACGTCACGGGCTCTCCTTAAGAGATTCCGGGCCCTACGGAGGAGCACTCAATGACCAAGCAGTAGGACAGAAACCCAAGGCAACCCCAAAAACCCTAAACCCCAGTTAAGGCTGAGGCTCGAAAGTAGGGAGCCCCTCAACCATTACATGCCGGGGCTTCTGATATAGTCGAAGCTTAAGCCCCAAACCCAAAAGCAAACAAAAAAGGAAGACCTAAACCTGGGTGCCCGTGACCCATCAGCCGCGCAAGACTCCCATGAAACCAACACGACAGCAAGAAATCCAGCAACGACCCAAAACCTAAGGGTTCAAATGACCCAATCACTAGGTACTCGGCTTTAGGATGGTAAGCTTCGTAGGCTAGCATTCTGGAGAGTATATGATTGTTAGGTAAGTCCCAACATCGGACAACCAGCCCTTCACCGTAAATCCAAGGGTAAAAGGAGGGACCCTCAATAAGGACCCTAGGTATATACCCTCAATATAGCTCCTATATACCCAGGTATGGGTCCCCATTAACGGTCCCTCCTTTTCCCCTTTGAGTAAACCCTGACACAACCCAAAGAGCCCTAAGGCAAAACCGCGCCGTCGCAGAGTCGCAAGCGCTGATGGCGGCATTGAAGGACACCGAACCTAAGAGGGTTTAGAGTTTAGGATTTAAAGTCATCCTTACCAGAAGCTGCTTGTTACCTGATGAAACATGGGCACATGGTTCCTGGCAGTAGCCCTTAATTAGGGGTCTATCAGTGCCCAAGATCCATTCTAATTCCTCCAGCTGCCAATTTCATCATGACTGCTCTTTTGAGCAAACACAAGGGTCTCTTCTCTTGCATGTTAAACTCTCATGCTGGGCCTTGTATTTGCCTGTCAAGTTCCCCAGGCTGCATATGCACTTCCATTGCGGCGTACACGGAAACACGTAACTACTTGTTTCGGATATCCCTATATAAATCCCTACAGACCCGAAAGCCTTACATAGTATGTTCTTGAGGCCCAAAAGCCGTAATAAATGAGTCCTTATAGATCCCCAGGGAATGACGCCATAACCAAAAACGGAAACACCAAAACACACCCTGCAGCTTCAGCCGGAGAACTGAGCCGGACGTGCTGATCTTCGGCTTCGCGAATCAGCTCCTGCACTTGGTGTCGGTTTCAACAGCCTAGGGGTTTGGGATTTTAGGTGAAATGAGGGCTCTATACATGGTAACAAAAAAGGAAAGGATCAACTTCTCCCAAATCGATATGTAGTGCAGCATACCCGGTCGGCTGCCAAGAGAAGTGTTCCTCAGGAGCCCAAACCTAAAGACTGTCTAGACCCTAACCCCTGATCCCTAAAAGCCGTAACCACTGCCTAGACCTACGAGTAACCTAGGAATGAAACTGCAGCCTAAAAAGGGAAATAAGAGCCTACTCTAGGTCCTAGCGGCACATACTTTTGTTCGGAAGCTTTGACCAATATTGCTAGTAATTTTTGAGGCCACAACAATTCAGGTTCAGGGCCCTTTACTTCGGTAACAGCGCCCTGGCCTAAGCACCTGCGTTCTAGAAAGAAGCTGTCTTTTGTAGGAATTCTTGTGGCTTTTTGGGCAAGTATCTCTTCTATGGCAACATAAAACCCTTCGGAAGTACAAGCCAAACCGAGTGGCCAATGCCCACAGCCATTCGCGCCGCTTCTGGCAGGCGCTGATGGCTGCGTTGAAAGAGATCCTCAGGTGGGGAGTCCTTCTCCCTAGAAATCAAAATAGCCCAAAAGCCTTACATATATACGGTTGATGATATAAATCCTGTATTACCTTAAGGAACTTAAACTATGGGGATTCTGGTATGTTCCTTATTATGGATAATGCAGGATTTGTATCATCAACCGGATCAAAATAGCCCAAAAGCCTTACATAGTAGGGTCTTTGAGCCTAAAACCCTTATTACATGAGTCCTTAGATCCCTAGGGTACCCGAAAGGGTCCCATGCAGCTATAAACTACAGACTTTGGCCTCAAAGGCGTTCCTATGTATAAGGTACTGTGGGTTCGAATATACTGTACCAATATCGGTACATGGACCCTTCTAGGATATGAGATTGATATCGAGCCGAATCTGCTACCTACGGATCTTCAGACAGCTATCTATATATATATATATATATATATACATATATATATATATATATATATATATATGGGTTGTTCAGAAGGATTGGCTGGCTTTACGTAGCCCCGTGATGGGAAAAAACCCTCCCCACATTTAATGTGACGTGAAAGCTCAAGGACCACAAACAAAGGGCGGTTACTAGTCAGAAGGCCAGTATAGGAGCAAAAAGATTAGAATGTGGTTCTGGGGCCCGTTATACTAAACTTGTAATCAAAAACCCACGAAAATATTGATAAATATGTAAAGTTTAGGCCCCTACGCCGGCCCTACGCTAGTTTCCTTGCGACCGGGAATTGACAAGGATAAGAGTCCAACCTGTTTGTGAACCCACCTGATGACTGAATCGAAAATGCTGCTTGTTCCGCCTATATAAAAATATAAACGACAGAGGATTCCCTCCACTCACCTCAACCGGCAGAGGAGATTCCTAAAATAGAACCCATACCAGAAGAAATGCCAAAACTCGTACATTCCTGATTGAGGGGTAGTGGGCGGACACAGCCGTGACCAGGTCTCCTTGCATTAGGCTTTCGGTTGTATTATCAGGGATCAGGGGACGTGCAGATGCCAGACTCTGCGTAGCTAGTACTCTTACGAACCAGCCAAAATTGAACCTTACCCTGAGGCTCCTGGACCCTCGTAGTGAGATCCCAAACCTTAGTCCCCAAAGCCGGAACCCTCCCCCAGAAAGCCCATGACCCCTTTCGGAGCCTTAGGGCAAACCCTAAACCCCCTACAGGGTACTCTCAGTTCTGCTACCGAAGAGTATATCAGCATAGCGTGTAGGACCTCGAATCCAGAACATTTTCGAAACCTCCAAAATCCTCGTGAAACACCTCTCAGCCCTTGCAACCTTTTCTGAAGACCCAGACCCCGCCAAACCCTGAACCCTGAAAGCCTAAACTAAAATCCTAAACCCTAGATCCTAAAGCCTAAGCTAAAATCCTAAACCCTGAACCCTGAAAGCCTAAACTAAAATCCTAAAACCTAGATCCTAAAGCCTACGCCCTGAACCCCCTCCATCCTTGAAGCCGAAAGGCGTGTCTGGCTGCAGCTCGCGAGCTCGAAGCCAGGGAAGCCTCTGATATCGAGATTTGAGCAGGGAACACACAAGGGACCCTGAGGCTCCTAAAGGGGTCTCGGGCTTTCTGGGGGAGGGTTTCGGCTTTGGGGGCTAGGGTTTGGGATCTCACTACCAAGGTCCAGGAGCATTAGGGGACTGTATACTGTTTATAGGAGTTTAGGGTTTAGGGATGTTTAGGGTTTAGAGTTTCGAGTTTAGGGTTTCAGGGTTTAGAGCTAACCCCAAGGGTCCAAGTACCTAATAATCATATACTTTCCCAAATCCTAACCTACGTAACTACTATAAAACCGAGTACCTGATTATTGGGAAGGGTTTGGGCTTTGGGGGCTAAGGTTTGGGATCTCACTACGAGGGTCCAGGAGCATTAGGGAAGGGCCTCAATAATTAGAATAAAGCCTTCAGGGTCTAGAGTTTAGGACTTAGGGCTCTAGACGAAAGTTCAGTAAGGGCTAGTACAGTACTAGGCCTTAATAGTTAGGCTTTCCCTCAACACCAAATAACCTACCTTTTTAAGCACTTATCTAAGGAAATCATAATGGGAACCCTAAAAAAGCTAGGTTCTTTTCGGTCCAGGTCAGGGTTTAGAGTTTAGGATGTAGGTACAGAGTAGGGTTCAGCAAGGGCTAATACAAAGGCCTTAACAATTAGGCCTTCAGGGTTCAGAGTTTAGGATGAAGGTCCTATAGAGTAAGTTTCATTAAGGGCTAGTACAAGGGCTTTTGGGTTTAGGGTTTAGGATACTGTTGATGATGATGATGATGATGATGATATATATATATATATATCCTGCATGACCCATAGTTAATATGAAATATACCATAATCCCCATATATTCCTTATCATGGGCAATGCAGGATTTATATCATGAACCGTAGTACAGGGGCCTTTGGGTTTAGGGTTTAGGGTTTAGGATACGACTTGCCAGCCTCCGCCATTGCTGCCGACTGAATGCCCGACTTCCGCTCCTCGCATACTCCCAAAGCGTCCTAAGTACCTGCATACGGTTGATGATATAAATCTTGCATTACCTTGAGGACCCTAAACTATGGGAGTTATCGTATGTTCCTTATCATGGGTAATGCAGGATGGATTTATCCGTAGAGATCAAAATCCCTAAGGCTCCATGTACCCATATAGTATATGCTTAAGCCTGAAAGCCTATATAGGGACCCCTTTAAGGCCTAAGTAGCCACTATAAAGGTACATGGAGCCTTTGGGTATGTGGGGATGCTTTCCCATAACAAAATAGTACTCCCCACCATAGAAACCGAACCTTGCACTGCATGTAGGTACTCAGTGCGCTTTGGGCCATTGCTGTTCGACTTGGCCAGCGCACGGAGCGGGGCGGCAAGCAACTTCGAAGTAGACACCACCGTCGTCGCGACTTCTGTCACCCGGAACTTTGAGGACTAAATCACCCGAAAATTAGGGCCCTATACCCTTGTAGTATGAATCCCTAGCCGGTACATGAGCCGCAACCGGAACCTTTGTGAGGTTCATGTCGTCTTTAAAGGAGCAAAGCTTCCGTGGCGACGAGCAATGAAAGTGTCTATGAGTTTCTGCTCCACTATGCGGTTAGGGTAGCGGTTACCATAAGGTTTAGAGTCGGCGGCCTAGGTCGATTACCAATGGCTTGAACCTCTACTATACTTATGACCTGGAACCCTGAGAAACAGTCGCACCAAGCAGTCGGACCCTTTTACAAGGGTGCACTTGAGGTAAAGGCTTTCAATACGGGTTTTCGGCTGCGCATGGGGATCCAATATCCTATCATCTTAGTTGGTTACACCCACTAGCTATAACTACCCTGAGGCTCCCAAAGGGGTCATGGGCCTTCTGGGGGAGGGTTCGGGCTTAGGCGGGGTAAGGTTTGGGATCTCACTACGAGGGTCCAGGAGCCTTAGGGTGGAGCCCTAAACCCCAATCCCTAAACCCTAATCCCCAAACCCTGAACTCGAATCCCCCATCACCGCTTAGCCCTTAATCCCTAATCCAAGAACCCTCTTGTTGAGGGTTCTGGAACCTGCAGCTGGCCTGTTAACTCCAAACTGGGGATTGAAGCAAGCGTGTACAAGGCTACTGACTGACTTACTACCCCAATAAGCCACAGAAGCAAACGATTAAACTTTCCGATTCCTACTAAACTATAAGAACCCAAAAAGTATAAAGGTTTGGTAACATGGGTCTAAGTTGAGGTTAAAGATACGGAGTTCTGCAGCCCTGATGTTGAGGAACGGCGGTTTACGGAAGCTTAGGGTTGTTGGTTTATCTTGGCTTAGGGGAGCTAGGGTTTAAGGTTTGTAGGGTTCACGGTCTATAGACTATAGAACGTTTGAGGTTTTTAGTGTTTAAAGCTTCAGGCTCATATAGTACAGAGTGTAGGGTTACCCTAAGGCTCCAAAGAGGGTCTTGGGCATCCAGGGGGGGGGTTTCCGGCTTTGGGGGCTAGGCTCCAAGATCTCACTACAAGGGTCCAGGAGCCTTAAGGTATGGTCTACACCGACTGTCCAGGCTTAAGCTTGAGAAAACGTAAGTAATTGCCGCACGGCCACAACAACGGCATCGATCATGCAGGCATGTACCCAACGGCTCCATGTACCCGTATAGTATATACTTAGGCCTGAAAGTACCTGTAATAGGGACCCCTTTATTAATAAAGGCCTACGTAGCTACTATAAAGGTACATGGAGGCTTTGGGTGTAGACATGTCTGCTGCCAGTGTGTCTCAACGCGGAGCGGCTGCACGTCCAGCAGCAGAACGCTTCTCTTCCCCAAGTGTACCCAGACCTTCCAAAACCCAAACCCCTGAATTAAGGAATATGCGCTAAACCATATTAGGGATCCCTAATACGATTTAAGGTACATTCCTTAATTAACGGATTTTGGAACTTCTGCGTCATCTGGTGTATGGGGCCTTGCTCCGTGGTCATATTTGGTGTGCAGGGCCTTTCTTTCACGGTTTGTGTTAGGTGCGAGTTCTTAAACCTCCCATACTGTTGATGGACAAAATCCTGCATGACCCTAAGGACTCTAAACTACGGGAACTATGATATACTCCTTATACTGGGTAATGCAAGATTTTGTCCATTAGCCGTATGGGTGGGTGTCAAAATTATGATCCCTTTTGGGGTCCCTATGATAATACGGCACCTATTCTTTAGGGTGCCAGAAACTACCAATATGATTCCGAGCACCCTAGGGCTCTAGAGTAAATCGTCAAACGACCCTACAGCAGAACAGCATGGAAAACCATCAGCCGTTTTCATCCGTTGTGTTCCGAAAAAAACATCGGATCTATATTGCCACGAAATTCAGCGAATGTGCTAAGGGACAACCAGACGTAATCCCGCCCTGAACACTACACCTGAAATCCATTTGGCATGGCTCAGCGCTTCAATGGCCACAGGCCGCTAGATCCCCAGGTACGGCCCTAAACCAAACCCTAAACCCAAGGCACCAAACCCTAAACTGCAAGAACCCAGCCGAGCAGCAGCACCAAAGCAACCTCCCAAACGGCGGCTTTCTCCTCAGTTGCCGTTTGATAAGCCTACATCGGATCCGTGCAGAAGACAGGACGTTGCGGCTTAAAGTTAAGGGTTTAGGACTTTGCAGTTTAAGGCTAATAGCGTTAAGGGCTTAATTATAGGATTCTGTGGAGCTGGGGGCCTTCGACCTAAAGAGTAGATGCACCAGCCACCAGCCAACAAAAAAAAACATACATTAGGGTTTAGGGTTTAGGGTTAAGGGCACACGCTACCAATTCAGGTACGAAGTGTCGCAGCTGCTGATGGCGGCATTGTAGGCAATGACATCTGCCTGCACGCGACCTGGGACAACAGTCCTCATGTGATCCCAGACGTTCCGTTATATTTTGAACTGTGGTAGGACCTGTGATATGACCAAGCTAAGACCCTTTATTAATATTGGAAGGTTTTGGATGGAGCCCTGGATACATAAAACCGTAGGCTTTTGGGCTGCAGGTAGGACCCGAAGACCGAGATATAGAAGCCTGAGTACTCAAAACGTCCTAAGGACCTACATTGTCGGAGACTTTCCCAAGTACCGACAATAGAAGCCCTGCTTTCTGCCATTTAGATACGTACTACCCTTTGGGAGATCCATACAATACTTCATACTGTTCAGGCCACTGTACCGCCCCCCCCTATCATCCTCCTTAAAACCCCCTATCATCCTCCTTATAGTTAACCCTGCAGAGCCTGGTTTAAGAACCCTTTGCAGGCACCCTATTCTACTCGGAGGATCGGGGGATTTATTAAGTGGCTATATACTTTTATAGAGTTACCTGGACCCTAAGGAACCTACCTGTTTGAGGCCCCCTAATATGACTTTTTTTATTTAAGTCCCGGGTAGTTTATTTGGGGTTAAGGTATAAGTACGATAACCCCAATTAGGATCCCGGCTGTTCCGCTGCTGCAGGATTCGCGTCCGAGCGGCTCCGCTCCATTCCCAGGAGCAGCGCAAGCGCCTTCTCCCAGTGACCCACCTTCCTTGGAGAGCTTAGGATTAACCCCAAGGCTCCATGTACCTTTATAGTAGCTACTTAAGCCTTACAGGAGTCCCTGTATAGCTACTTTCCGGCCTAAGTATATACTATATGGGCACATGGAGCCTTAGGAAAAATTAGGGTGTGCGGCTTAGTTAGGGTTTTGGGGACTACTCTTTGCTAAAGATAGATGGATAAATAGACCGTCTATAAGACTCTGGCACGACGGTTCAGCAGAACAAAGAAGCCTTCTGCAGTATAGTGTGTGACGCCACAGACCATGCAGTCCAAACAGTTCGCGCCGAAACACCTCTGAACACAAATCCTAAACCGCTGACTCTGTCCCGAAGGCAAACAACAACAGCACAGCCTAAAACCCCCTACCCCTTCCAAACCAACAGAAACACCTAGAACCCAAATCGTACACACCGAACCCTAATAGGCCCTGAACCCTAAATCCCAGATCCTAAATCCCAAGCCCTTAGCCCTACACCCTAACTTCCAAGCCCTGAGCCAAAGACTCCGTGCACCATAATAGTAGCTACTTAGGGCTTGAAGGGGTCCCTATTTAGGTACTTCAAGGCCTAAGTACAGACTATATGGGCACATGGAGCCTTAAGGTAAGCTTACCCCCTAACCCTAACCCCTAAAACCCTAACTTCCAAGCCCTAAAGAGCAGTGGAGCGTCTCGCAGGCAGAGATGGCCGCACTGCACGAGATCCTGGGTTCAGGGTTTCAGGCTTAAGTTACCATAATGAGGATAAGGGTTCCCTTTAAGGGTTTAGGGTTTAAGCTGCCATAACAGGGATCTACCAGGCTCCTTTAAGAGATCCTCACGAGACTGGACCCCTGCACAACTTGAAGCAGGTGTACATACGTTCTGTGTATATACCTCTATGCATGTGTTCTGTGTATATGATATATATATATATATATATATACATATATATATATATGGAGAGACAGAGAGAGTGAGTTCTGTGTGTATATATATGTATATGTATATGTATATGTATATGTATACCTAGACCCCGGATTTGGTTATATTACGCCCGGTTTTTTTTTACGCACATTTACGCTTGAGGTTCCGGGATTACGAAATTTATGGTTGCAGGGCTTTTTTACGGGTTTCCATGTTAGGGCTTTTTTACGGGTTTCCATGTTTCATCCTTATGGCTATATAGATGCTGGGTTTTTGTTGGACGATGTGAACCTTCAAGCTCGTAGCCTCAGCACTAACATGAACCCATGCAGAAGCAAGAAACTCCAGTGGCCTGCCTCCCAGAGCCCCAAGAAACCCTATATAACCCTGCCAAAAGCTTGCCCGGACCTTGAAAACCCTGCCGAAAGTAAAGCCATGCCCAATTAATCCGCCCCACAGCCTTCTGAAGCCTCCTTTCATGCACTGTCGGCTGCTGCGGCTGCACTCTGATGAAGGACGGCTGGGATTCCAGAGGGTCTCTTCGGTATAGATATCGATTCGGGGGCAATTAATACACAAGCTATTAGACCAAGCCGAACTTCACAGCCAAAGCCGCCTGATAGCGGCGGAGCACTCTGCTATGTGGTAATCTCGCAGAAACTCTGCGAGATAATCTAGCTATCTGGCCAACCATATCCTCGCACTGGGGCGTGGAATTCACGATTGGGTTCAGCACACAGGAAAGGTTTTCCTGAGCACAAGCATTCATCAGGTCGACCAGGCAATGGTGAAAGAAGTGCAGCTTCGGAATCAGGTTGTACAGCAACAGATTGTGCTGCATCGACCACTCAACTAGCTTAGAGTAAGCCTGAAGGAAGGTGAAGCCGGAGTCTGCCGCCAGTTGCGCATCCTTTTTCGGCATAAAAGCTTCAGCCGAATAGAGAGTCCTCATGCATTGTCCCGCTGCTCGGGCCCCCACATCGATGTAGCGCCAGGGCTTTTCCATTGCATTTACAGTGTCCATAATATCCATAGCCCAAGGAAGGAATTTCATGAGCACCACACTGTCCTCCCCTTTGTTCCAAGATCCAGTTGCAAATATCGTTTTGGTTTTGGCTCCGATATTCTCCAGGGTCAGTTTTCCGCAATGCAAGCGCTGCCGTGTCTCCTTCAAATAGACTTGAAGGTGAGCATTCAAAGATAGGATGCGGTCGTCATTATTCGTTCCTTCGAAATATGGAAGGAGCAAAACCAAGGATGATGCAGCAAACTCTTTGTACGCTCCAAGGTTCAGCGTGTGAAACAAATCAACCTTCAGGAAGCTTGGCGCATCGGGCATGTGCGGGATGGACCGCAGAATCGTGGGAGGCACGGGCCACGGCGCCGGGTTATTTTCAGCAGCTGTGGTTAACCAAGCTGGATTCCTGCTGAAATCCTCGAAACCACAAGTGGAGGTTCCAGCCATGCACCAACAGCACAGCCCTAGCAGGGGCTTTGACGTAGCCTTTTGCACTTGTTTTTGCACCCGGGCAAAGTTTCGAACCAGGGAGCATGCCTTGGCCTGAAAGACTAGGTCGCCTTTCAAGCCTTGCACCAAGAACTTCCACGTTTTGCCTGCATGCACGTAGCCATCCTCATAAAGGGACCCAAACCAATCTGAGACAAAACCAAGTAGTTCCAGAAGGCAAGACGGGTCCTGCAGGGAGTGCAACTTAGACAGCATCGGGGCCTTCAGGGCTTTTTGGGATAAGCCGCCACCAACCTGAAAACCCCAAACCCTCCCTCTAAACCCGGCTAACCTCCCACGAACCCTAAAATCGCCAGGAATCCACTGCGCTCGACGGCCTCGAATTTTCTACGAGGCCCAGGATACATCGATTGGTTTGTGGGGTTTTCGGGTCTAGTGGGTCTTAAGATTTGATTGGGATTTTGAAGGTAGGTTCGGGAGGCTTTCGGGTAATTTGCTCCGGAATCGAAGTGGGTCCTCACTGTAGTACCGCTTGTGAAGCACGCTCAGGAGAAACCGAGTAGTCAAGGAGTGGCCCTTGAGGTTCACACCAGCTGCAGTAACGTCTGTCTCCGCTGATAATTTGCGCTTCTTGGATTGCTGCGATAAGTTGGTTCCTCCACCTATGCAAGATTGAAATTGTAGAAGCATGAGCTCGCTTTTCCGGTACGTTCGCCCGCCGTCTCCGTGAAGGTTTAACGGGACGAGGCTGCTAGGGTCGACACGTCCACTCGCGATGTCAGTAGCCACAGGATGAGTGGGGAACTGCACCACAAAGTGTGACCAGAAGTCGCGAAGTACAACATCACCTTTTTGCGAACAAAGACGGGCCACAAATCTAAAAGCTTTGGAAAGCTCGATCTACCCAAACTCAGGATATTGACTGTATTCGGCTAGGTTGCTGTGCTCAAGTGGCGTTCCGATGATTGCCTCGAAATGCCCTCGTTCTGCAAGGCTAGCAATCAGGTCACGGGGCCTGAAGCATGGGTGATCCTCTAAGCCGTCGCCTAGATTCACATAGCTCCACGGGACATCCACAAGCAATCCGTTCTTTAGGAGTGTGCTATAAACCACGTCTTCTTCATGCTTTGGGGTAGCCCGAGCGATTCCGCTCACTGTGTGGCATAGAAGATCACCATCCTTCTCGGAGGCAGAAGCTCGACCCACGATGTCGTTGGCCGGGACCTAGGAAGTGGTTTTGGGGTTGTTAAGGTTTGGGTGTGGCCTGCTGGCGTGTAATTACACAGGTTCGGGGCTCTTGCAATGGCCGTTCGGGGCAGTGTTTTCCGGTTTCCAGGGTGGTTGGTGCTTCGGACTTGTATGTTCAAGGGCACTGTTGAAATTTCCGAAGATCCGTTTAAAATTCCTTAAGCCGCCCGGAAAACCCTGTATATGTACGACTTTCCGTGTCACGAACTGAGCACCCCACTCCCCGCCCATAAGCTTTCGCCATATTGCGAGCTTTGTGTGAAGCATTGCCACCATTGTCTTTACCTGGCATGGAGAGCGAGTCTTTCCAGGGCGAGGGCCAGGAAAAGACAAGCAGGCTGCACCATATGCAATTCCGGTTGAACATTAGCACATGTTGCATCCAATCATTTTCGCCGAAGACTGGCGCTCGGGAGCATGCAGTGTCGAAAAGAACACTCGCACACATCCTTCGTGCAGTAGCGTTCAAAAGCCACACCCCGGTTTAATTTGCGAAGTACACGTGGCAGATCGAACCGTCTCTACAGATGCCCAGGTATAGAGACAAATTTATAATGCCATGGCCCCAGCTAGCATATAGCATCCTCGGCATCACTTGGCGCCCTTTTTAGAATTAGCCTTAGCCTTGGGCTGTGTCGGCTTCTTCTTGCTTGGCGGCCCGCTCTTCTCAGGCTTCTCTGCACGGCTCTCGTCGGGCTTTGGCAGCCGCTTGGCCCCCCTGACAGGCGGCAAATAGGGGTTGTGGTTTCACGGAGGGCTTACCTTCAGAGGTTGGGACACCTGTTCTTCAGCTCGAACGACACAGCCAAAACACACCTTATCTCCAAAGCAAGCTCGATGCACACAGATCCTAACAGCTTTGCAAAGTAATGTTTGGGACCATCACAACTTCTTGATGTCTTTGTACTTGGCTTCGCATTTCTTCTGCAGCCTCAGGAGCAAATATTGGGCTTTGATAAGGAATTGTTGGCATCTTGGGGTGTATAGGGTCTTAAGGGTTTTAGGGTTGGCATTATAGTTTCGGATTTCAGGCATGGGGTTTGGGATTATAGATTGGGGATTCAACAGTATGTGGGATAATCGTGCTCTTCCTGGGTTCCTGTTCCTGCAGGTTGGCGTTTGGGGGGTTTGGGATCAGGGTTTAGGATGGGGTTTTAAGGCGTACATTGGGATGATAGGTTACATGGCATTCTGGGGTTTGGGCTTTGGGGTTTCCGGGTTTACTTGCATACCCGATATACTGTAAACTAGAACGACAGTGGTTTCCCCTACCTCCCGGAGCCCAAGAACCCTAGGAACCGGTGTCATAAAGTTTCCAGCAGCTACGGTATAATGTATACAAAATTGAGATACGATGGATCCTTGCTGAAAGAGTAATAAAAAAAGGTTATACGGAGGTAGTAATAGCACTAGCGCACTAGCTTTCTTGGTCATCACACATCAGCCTGTGCAGCTCTGCACTATGGTGGATGCGAGTGAAGGCGACATTGCAAGAAGCCGATCCCGATGCAGAATCTGCAGAACTCACGGGCTTCCTCACCGTTCCGCAACTGGCCCGCGAGGTTAGCGGAGAAACGGCTGTGGGCTGTCCCCGTCGTGTATGCTTTCACTGCAACTTTCGCAGTCACTTTCGCAGACACTGTCGCAGTCACTTTCGCAGTGGCGAGAACGATTGGGACGATGACGAATTTGGAGCACCACAGAGTGACCAGGTCATCGTATTCGCCCGTCTGGCGGCTTTCTGAAGCCATGGGTCCGGGAGAGAAGGGAGACTCTCGCATGGCCGCTATTGGGGTCCCCCCCCACAGCATTTTCTAGAGATAGTAGTAGAGTAGATATACTATCGAGGGCTATATCCAAGGTAACAATACATTCATCTCAATGTCCATATTGGTATACCTATTCATCTTGGCCGTCGCCGGCGCAAACGGCGGTTTGTGTCTTGGGTTTGGGTTGCTTGGATTAGGCGTTTAAGTTCAGCTGCTAGTTGAATTAACCGAAATAAAGACATATATAACACTGTATAAGCCCTCACTACTCAAACCCTGCAGCCAAACCCTAAACAAGATTGGTGAGATTCTCAAGCAGGGTCTTAATTTAGGATAAGTGTAGCGGCTTACGGCTTACAATGCGGGTGTGTCTCGGGTTTAGGTTGCTTGGATTAGGCTTCTTGGGGTGTGTCTTGGGTTTATAGGGTTTAATTAGGCGGGTTTGTGTCTCGGGTTTAGGTTGCTTGGATTAGGCTTCTTAGGGTGTGTCTTGGGTTTAGGGTTTAGGCGGGTTTGTGTCTCGGGTTTAGGTTGCTTGGATTAGGCTTCTTGGGGTGTGTCTTGGGTTTATAGGGTTTAGGCGGGTTTGTGTCTCGGGGTTAGGTTGCTTGGATTAGGTTTCTTAGGGTGTGTCTTGGGTTTAGGGTTTAGGCGGGTTTGTGTCTCGGGTTTAGGTTGCTTGGATTAGGCTTCTTAGGGTGTGTCTTGGGGTTAGGTAAGCTGCTGGGTTGCAACAAATTATACTAGTTTCCCTGTGTGCACTTGCAAGGCACTCGTCGTCCAGGCCGTTCACTTGTGCATCGGCTTGTAGAGCAACTAGCTCGTCATAGGCATCACCCAAATCATCCACAACCTGTGACATCTTCTCGGCCTCCCTCAGCACACGAGGAGCTTGCGGCTTACATCTAAGTATGCAATCGACACTGGAAGCACAGCACGAATACACGAAGTGCGGCACAATAAGGGTTGGGCTTTTTCGATGTAGATGATGAGTTCTTGTCCATAAACTTGCTCAGCTTCTTCCTAGTGGCTACGGCCTCTTCCAGCATCTTGGAAATTGCAGCCAAGCCCTGCGAATATTGCAACAGGATGCTAACATAATTGCAAGCGATACAACAACAGTAAGTGTATAGAAGTGGCGACAGAATCTCGGCCTTCTTTCCCTGCTCTACTTCAACACCAGCTGGAAGCCCTTCTTGCAAAGGATTCGCTGCCATCGGCTGATCATCCAGAGCAGGTGCCACGACACCGTCCGTGTGCCCGGATCTCGTCTCCTCCATGCCATCAACCTCGTTGACACCCCTCACACCCTCTGTCCTGTAGTCAACCCAGTACTCGGTTTCGGTATCGTCGTACTTGTTCTTCCTCAGCAATGTAGTCACAAGGACTGGTACAGTCACTGCATGAACATTCCAGGAAGGGCACCGTGTCAGTCCATGTTCCTCGCAGTACTTCATAATCTTCTTGGCCTTGGACCTTGGCTTATTCTGAGTGAGGTATTGAATCTACACTTACCAATCATATTAGCTGAAGAACTGTGTGAACGCTAGTCCTCCCTCCGAGACAGGCTTTTTCATATCCGCCTCCGAGTAGTACCCGCCTTTCGTTGAGGTCTTCCTGAACTGCTCGGTTTTGCGGTACAGCACAAGCTTCTGCACGAAGGTCTCCTCGCAAATGGGCTATGGTACAGACACATAGTGACTTAAAATCATTTATGCTTATATGGTGCAACATGAAGCCCCGCGGCTCCCGGCACCCGTTTGCTTCCATCATCAGCTTCACTAGCTGCACTCTGCAATGGCCTTTTTGTTTCCACTCTTTCATCAATTGCTTGTCGGCATCGCACCGTCCCGATGTCTTCACTGAGCAGAATCGTCGCAGCTTGGCTTCCATTCTGTTGTATCTCTTTCTGTAGGCTTCGCCATCTTCGTCAGAGCTGCTGTCATCATCTGCACCTTCCTTCTCGTTCTTATCGCGGAGCTCACGATCATTCTGCGCAAACCCTGCTTGCACAACCTCGTTACTGGGCTTTGCTGAGGCCGGAGGAGCAGCTGCTGGGATTCCTGCCGGAGGCGGGGTCTCGGATCCGGTGTTCACTGACATTGGCGCACTGCCACTGGTCCCGCTGGCTCTCGATTCCAAAGACGCTGATGAATCTGCACGTACAGGTTCTTGCTTGAAACGCTTAGGAGGTGGCTCCTTCAATGACATTTGTTTATAGATTCCCAGAACGACAGA